CATATCCGGCAAACGCAAGGTAGAGCGATCTACGATGAAAAACAGTGCATGCAACGCGGGAGCATTGTCTTTCATTTTGACTTTGCTGAAAACTGGACCATCGTGCTTCCTGACGAAGTGCAAGCATATCACTGGAAAAAAAAAAAACAAGTTTCGATATTTACATGTGTAGTGACGACAAGAAAATCTACAAACAGCTTTGCCATCATCAGTGAGGACCTGTGTCACGACGCCGCTCACGCTTGCTTGGCTCTAGAAAAAGTGAAGGAGTGGGTTGAAGACAACGTTGCGGTATACTCGTACGTGACGTACGTAAGTGACGGCGCCGCCAGTCATTTCAAGAATCGCTACCAGCTTCACCAATTTGCAAAGGACGATTGCCCACAAGCCCAGTGGTTATTTTCTGCATCTGGACATGGGAAAAATGCATGTGACGGAGTTGGCGGACTCGTGAAGCACCAGGCCACGCTGAACAACCTGAGAGAACGTTCAGTAAGCGCAATTCAGACGGCCAGGACAATGGTGAGCGTTCTATCAAAGAAACTGAAAGGCGTGCATCTTGTATATCTGGACGAAAATGAGGTTGTTCGGTATCATGAACAAAAAAAAGAAGAGTGGCTGACGGTGCGCGCCTTCCCTGGCATTCAGTCTTGGCACGCGTAACGGCTCAGCAAGTCATCAACAGAAGGGACCTGTGACGTATATGTAGCACGGACAGTCGGATCTGCTTGGAAGCAACTTTATTAAATGGGTACAGCGAGGAAAACCTTAGCGTAAAGTGCCGAATTTGATTTCCCAAGGACTGCTCATTTTGAATGCAGGGACATCTTATTTATCACATTTTTCTTCACGGGGTATTTAACCTACTGTTTTTGTTGGTGGTTACTAATAATTTTTATCTGATCACTATAAAAAAAATCCCAAAATGTTATCCTCGAGTAGGATAAAATATATCGGCTTGCCACGATTCATTCATACACCGAGAGCATCGAAGCTGCTCCAGTTAGGCACTATGGCATCCGTCACCTGAAATTGTTTGTAATCGTAAATACACAGCCAACATAAATATCTTACTATTATATCTTTGTTTGTGTGTATGGAAGTAAAGTTATTTATTTTACTCTAGATGTAAAATATACCGGAAGGTACAACTTCACACTGCATCATCTTTTCTCAAATCATTAGTCTCTAATATGATACCACTTTGTACGCTTATGTAAAATGCTGTATATAGTTTCTCCTCCCTTTTACTGTGTGACCGATCGCTCTTTTTATCAATGACCTCATCTGAATAAATGTATATAAAAGATTTGTGCAAGTTTCATGAAACTGGAACTCAAAGTCACTTCTTGTATAGGACACTGCTAAGTGTAGGCTTTGAAAAAGGACCCTACTTTGGGGAGTTGTTTCTTCTTTCACAGTGCAATGATGTAACATGTTTTTAATAGAAATGAATGCCGAAATAGAGTATAACAGGGTACCCAAATTTTAAAAAAATCGAAGGTGGTGTTTTTTTTTTATTCGCATTGGAATTTTTCTTTGTTTGATTTTTTTCCCATGTTTGCCTAAATATATTGTAACTATTGTGTCACTTAGATACCTTATTTATTTTTTCAATAATAGCCATATATTAGTAAAATAATGTCTGCAAGTTATGTAACAATGATTAAATTATTTCATGACATACAGATTTCCAAAGTTTGCCATTTGTCGTTCGAGCAGGCATGTTTGGCAATTTTTAGAAAACTAAATAAATTTTTAATAAATATTATTACTTTATATTACAAGCAAGTTGTACCCATAGTTTGTTTGTAAAAAGTTTTAAAATTCTCCTAATTTTATTGTTTTAATTATTCACTTTCAAACTTGCCCCCTCCATCAGTGCGCGTTATTTCAACTGTCCACCTCTCCCTGCCTTACGATTTTTCTTGTCTCCAAATTTTTTTTCTGGTCAAAACTAAGTGTGGATTCGTTTATACCAGACACTAGACAATGTCATATAAAAACATCAGTTGATTTAAAAATGTCGACCAGCCACCCTTTGGTCGATCTTATCTGAAATCACCCTGCTGTAATTTTTACAAAAAAGGACTAAAATCACAAGTAATTTCGATATACTTGTGGAAGTCCCATACCTCGCCCGGTTATTCCTTTTTTTTCTACTTAACAGAAAAAAAAAAGCAAGAGCACAGGATTTGCGTTTCTTTTTTGGCGCGGTATGTATACTTGTATTGGTTGTAAAGTACCTGAAGTTTGTTATTACATATTACGCACAGTTTAAATAAACTTACAGCAAAATTAATATTTATAATATACCCTATTAGTTCATCTTTAGTGCATTAATTGTACAGTTTTATTACGGTTTAAGTATGCCCGAGTACATTTACTACCTTCTTATTTACAGAGGTAATTTCGGTACTGCCCACATGTACACTTTTTGTACATTTTCTGTTTACTTAAAGTTAACTTTCAATAAGCTGGCCTATTAAATGTATATTTTTTTGCGTACACAGTATACTTTTAATGTATTGCTTTTTATTAAGGGCGATGGCCAACCGGAGAGCCTAATGGTGAATTCCACTCGTAGATCCGGAGCGCCTTCTAAAATCCACGAGGGAGGCAAAATTCCGCTCCGTGGGACCCGCTCCGAATCGACGAGAGGAAGATAAACTTGCATTTTTGGAGCGACCTCCCCCACACCCCTCCCCACCCCTTCTCCCTCCGCGGTACAAAATCGCCGCTGCTCGAACTTGACCAGTCCACCAACGCTTCAGCCGGCTGATCTTTCCGACGACCAGTGACGACTGTCACTGCTTACCTGCAGGAGCAACGCGCGACACAGGCCGGGCGAAATTCTACGTACCATGGCGCCCATGTCACAACTAACGAAGACGTCCGCGTTCGGCACCGTCACATACCTTTCGGCCACCTCGAAGCGGCGGGGAACGAACAGCGATTGCCAGCGGTGAAGTTCAGATTTGTAGTACGACTTTAATAAACCCGGAGGTAACAAACCATCACTTCCGCGGTCGTTGCCTAACTACTTCTTGCTTTATTTCACGGGAAAACGCCGACGGAATGCAGTGTAAAAAGGAAAACAATCACTGGCTGCAGAATGAATAGGCCTAACCTTGCGTCTGCCTCCGGCTTTTCTGTCGTTCCCCTCTCACGATCACAGATGTCAGCGCTTACGATTTGCCACACTCCATATTCCCGGTTTTTTATCCCTGATCTACGCGAGGTAGAAGCGTTCGAGCCGTCACAATCCAGAGTAAAAAACCGACGCACCCCAACAGAACCAACTCCACGACCCTGTTGTGGCCCGACCGGCCCGCCGATCTCTCCAACCTCGCCACGATTTAGACGGAAATCACGTGGGCCGCTCTGTCAACTTCCGGAGAGATCTGTGAAATCCCGCAGAGCAAGTTCGGCGGAGTTTGGGGCGCTCCGTGGAGCGGGCGCTGCCAGAGATCTACGAGCGGAAGATGACCAACTCAAGCCAGATCTGCGAGCGGAATATGCGCGCTCCAAATGGAGCGCTTTTGGAGCGCTCGAGATCTGCGAGCGGAATTCACCATAAGTTTAAAAGAGGCAGCAACTCAAGCTATGGAGAGTGGTTACAATTTATTCACAGACGCCCCCAGAGCAGGTCAGTCGCATGTGCGCATGCGCGCCTTGTCGCGTCGAGAAATGGACAGCGGGCGAAGAGGCAAATATGCTTGTCGACGAACAGAGCTCTCGTCACCATCTCGCACCTCTTATTGCAAATGCGGCCCATATTTTACAAGATCCCGGTCTAGCAGTTTGAAACACTTTCAAATCTACGCATACCTAGTGGCAGCCAATAAAAGTCGACAATGATGTGGCAATGGAGCCATTATTTCATGTCTGCAGAAGTTTTAGAACTAGGGTATCTTGTCGAATTACGTAACATTCAATCACGCAGTCCAACAACAACTAAAAACAGGGCGTCCACATTCTGATCCAAAAAGGTAAGTCAAGCAGTCCGTTTTAGAGCGCAGCTCTTAGGGGCCCGTTCCCGGCTCGAGCGGCGTCGGCGTAACCAAGGTCACCCCAAGGTCACGCGACCCCCAAGGTCACGTGACCCCTCCCCCAGGGTCATGTGACTTTGGGTGTCACGTGACCTCGGGGGGGGGGGGGGGGTCACCTTGGGGGTCACGTGACCCCCGAGGTCACCCCAAGGTCACGTGACCCGCAAGGGCACGTGACACCCAAAGTCACGTGACCCCAAGGTCATCTCAAGGTCACGTGACCCCTCCCCAGGGTCACGTGACACTCAGTCACGCGACCCTGGGGAGGGGTCACGTGACGTGACCCCCCCCCCCCCCTCCGAGGTCACGTGACATCCCCCCGAGGGCACGTGACCACCCTCCAGGGTCACGTGATCCCCCGCCGAGGTCACGTGACCTCCCCGATGACGTCATCGTCACTGATGACGTCACCGGCATCCGCATCGTCATCATCACTGATGACGTCATCAGTGACGTCACTGATGACGTCACCGGCACCCGCATCGTCATCATCATGAATGACGTCATCAGTGACGTCACTGATGACGTCACCGACATCCGCATCATCATCGTTATCACCGCTGATGACGTCATCGGAGTCCGCATCGTCATCGTCACTTATGATGTCATCAGTGACGTCACTGATGACATCATCGGCATTGTCACGTGACCCCCTCAGGTCACTTCACCCCCCAGTACCCTTCCCTCCTCCTCCTCAAGAGCTGCGCTCTAATTCGGTGTTACAGGGAGTTGTAAACGGCTTTCACTTTTTTTTTGTTTCACGTTCAATTCTACCCATTGCATTTAAAATTTATTCGGCAATTTTCATTCAAGCCAAACAACAGAAAAAAAAAAAAAAAAAACTCGACTAATAATATGTGTGTCTACAATTCAAAATAAAAAATAAAACAATCAACTTATGCAAAAATTAAAAAAAAAGAAAAATATGAAAGGGAAATTCATGCTTACCATCACCACAAGGTTTCCTTATGGTGAAACACGTTTCATAGTCAGTAAAAAGCAGCTCATAATCCGTAGATATATAATCTGAAATAAGTTGTTACAATGAATTAATTTAGAAGAAGGTATTAAGTTAAACAGTATTATGACGAGTTACTGTGTCCTGTCCTAATTACCAACCTATTAAAAAAGTTATATTTTCGCGCATCAAAAAACAAGGGCAGACTTGTCTTCCTTCGGTCGTTACAGCATTTTTATTGCGTAATATCGATTTGATCTATAAAGGTAAATAATTTCCTTTATTTTATTTTTGTCCTTTTCTTTTTAGATAGGTATGATTTTTACCCCTCATACCGAATATACACGTATTTTCACTTCTCTTTCTATCGCCTGTAGTTTCAACCCCGACCAAGAAAATGCTTTTTGTCAGTCCGCAGTACAATGGTTTTACGCAGGGTGTTGAAATTTGTTGAAAAAAAAATGTGTTGATAAAATTCGTGAAAGCTAAACTAATGCGGTTTGTAAAGGTGAGTTATACGGCCAAGGGATCACAGAATATAGGGGGCTGATCGTAACGATAAGTCAAAATTTTACCTAAAATGTGTTGATTGTTTTTTTTGTTTTTTTGTGAGAATAGACATATGGTTCTAATTAGAAACTTGCCGAGCGTCATCGGAAGCCTCTAGATTAATCATTCCTAATCATTTCTAAAAATACTTTGGGCGCGTGGGAAGCGTAGTAGCCAAAGGTACCATTGGTGCAACAGGTACAAGGCTGGGGCTATGATAAGAGACGGAAAACTCGCGCGGGCGCCTTATCGCACCGGTAGCCTTGCTTTTGCTGCACGAGTGGTGCCCTCAGCGCTCTACTGCACTTCTCATGCGCTCAAAGTCTCTCTATAAATTACTGATTTAGTGGTTTTCGACGATGCTCGGCATGTTTCTCATTGAAACCATATGTCTATTTTCACTGATTAAAAAGTTAACTACAACATTTTACGTAACTAGCCGACTGATCGTTACGATTATCCCCCTATGTTAGAGTTTTAGTAGATCGTACGCTGCAGAGAGCGGGCTCAGCGGGTGCGTGCTCAATCCATGCTTCAATGTGACGGCACGAGCTTCCCGCTAGCAAAGCTTAGCTCAGATCGGTCTACTAAACAAACCCGTACAAATCGCATTAGTGTAACTTTTACGGCTTTTTTTTTAACAAATCTGTTAAACTTAAAAAATAACATCTTGTATAACTAGGTAGCGAATAACGAATATTCTTTCATTTTTTACAAGGTAGCTTATAGTTCGTAGCATGTGCTTACCTGTACAAGTCTCTTTTTCGATTGAAAACATGTCATCGTATCTGAGACTTTCGTTAGATTTCTTCGTGGTGATCGTGACATTAAATGCTTCCCTGGAAATATGCAAAGCAAATCTTATATGTGGAACCCTGGTAAAAAATACATAACACACCATTTTCCAAGTCGTGCTGGTATCTACGAAGGCGACGTCATAATAATTCGTGACGTACTTACTGCCGTTCTTGACTGAGCAGACTGCTATTCACCTCGCAGCGCTGACTAAACTCAAAGCAGCGTTTTCTTTCTTCTACTTCATGAGTTTTGTTTTCATCCGTTGCCGAAGGTCGAAAATTGATTAAACAATCATCCTGAGGTAATCTTCAAATAATTTAACGTTTTACAATAGTTCTCCTAGCTGAGCGAATACTCTGGATTTTATATGAACAAATAGTTTCAAACGTTTACAAGTAGCAGACATTGAGCGACACCTTGCCATAAAGCAGGAAAGGGAACCCTAACGGGTTGCCTTTCCTGCTCGACTATTGACTATTGTAAACCTAGCTTTCATTTTAAAGTACTCAATCATTACTTTGACTGGGAGAGTATGAATGAAGTAAATGTCGGATAAAGGTCAATAAGAGCGAGATTTTTTATTACGTTTTATTTCAGTAATGCGAAGGTCACTCTATAAAAAGTTTTGTAAGAACTCGTCAAAAACATTTTCCATAATTTAAGCATTTATTTTTTAAATCTTCATTTATTTATATTTTGCGTCATTATGTAGACCCCAGCAGGAGATTTTAAAACTCATAAGAAAATTAATAAACTTCGATATGGATGGAATGTGAAATCTGTGTACCACAAAACAAAAGCGCTGCCACGTTTTAGTTCATTTCGACCACTACAGATTTGCTCTAAGACCTGATACAAGGAAACGAATACGTACATTTGACCTGTTTGGTTATTTCGGTAACGGAGTATACTCGAGACCTTCAGTTTCTCAACGGATGTGTTATACTGGAACCTCTTCTTCGGTAGCTCAAAGTCAGAGGCTTTCAATTGAACACACTGTGCTTCTCCTCCAAATTCAATATCATTTTTTTCAGAACGATACACGAGATAAACTTTCTGGCGTGTAAGCCACAGCTGCAATCAAACAGTAAGGTTATAGAATCGAACTTCAAGGATGTTCACACTCGAGCGCCGATATTCAAACTCTCAAGGCAGGTTCAGAGATTTAGGTTTAAGAACAGAGCGACGGACCGCGTTACCACTCCTTACGATCCATGCAGCAAGACGCGTTGCGCAGACCTCGCCGTTGCCGTAGCAACCACCTTGTCATGAGCACTCATACGCGGTCGTAACAAAGCCGGTCGTGCTAAAACGCAAATAGCTTAACAAGCTTTCGGTCAGGATGATGAGACCCAGAGTTTCAATGATTCAAATACATTCAACGGCTTATGGACCTAAACCTCAGAACTTTATATTATACTCCGTTCTTTGTCCGACCGCCCGCCGCTGCCTATAAAAACGCGCACGTTGACAGCGTCGCGAACCAATGGCGCACGTCAATGCGCGTTGGAGTTACGGCTTCCACGTCATCACAATTGTACTTATTTATTTATTTATTTATTTATTTACAAATACCCTCAGGGCCCCAAGGAGTATTACAGAGTGGAGTTGTGGTTTAGTGCGAGGCGAAACTTGGTGTTATCTGCGATGGTGACGATGTTATCGGGAAGGCCATTCCAGTCCACAATAGTTTCAGGTAGAAATGAATGCTGGTGGGCTGTAGATTTGGTCTTGGTTCGGGCAATCTTGAATGTGTGGTCCAGTCTTGAAGAAACATAGTTTGGTGGGCTAAGGAGAGACTGATTTAAATAGGGAGAGTAATACACTTTATGCAGGACGGAATGCCTGAAAATTTTGTGGCGCAGAAAAAGGTCAGGGAGGGTTAATTGAGATTTCATTTCAGTGACACTGGAAAAACGGAAGTAATCGGAAACAATGAAACGAGCTGCGCGGTTTTGGACTGCTTCTATTGCAGTGGTGAAAAATGAAAGGCAGGGATGAAAGGTGTATGATAGCACGGAAGAGAACACACGACGCTGTTTTAACCAGGAGCGAAAACCGCCGTTCTATACCTGCAACCCAACGTATACACCTAGGCCATTGACAGAATGAAGAGAGCAGCGCGTCTTTTTCGGATACCCGACCTTCAGCAAGGGCTCGCTGCCTTCCGTCGTGCTTCGGGTGCTCAAGGCTCACGAGACGCCAAAGCATTATTGAAGGTATACGAAAGCCGCATTGAAGGCGGGATGTCGTAAGCGCCGCAAGTGCGCAGATCATTCAAGAGCGGAGGTTCAGAACTAAGATAAAATTTAAGCGCGCGATTCTTTTCGGAAAGACAGAGGCCGTTCATCTCTAATGTCCGCTTAAAAAATAAAAAGGGAGGGGGAAGGAAGGAGAGCTGAAACACACGTAGAAGTATGAAAGTTCATTGAGCATCTGTCCCCTACACTCTTAGAAAAAAAAGGTATGGATAGTCCTCCCTTAGGGGAGGAACGGTCGTGTAACCTATGTTCCTTTAGAAGGGAAGAAACTTTCGTCCCTGAAGCAGGGAAGCAACTAGTTCCTTCGTCGTCTGCATCTCATTATGGCGGCCCTGAATCGAGCAAATCGAGCTCAATAAGGCTTAACGAAGACCACGGTAACGAGGACGCTACGTCTCTTGTACGGGACGAGAGGAGCAGCAAATAAAAGCGTAACACGAGCTTTCCGCGAACTGTGTTCATTTCCGAAGCTAGATTTCCCCCACAGGTACAGAAACTTGCGTTTCGAAAGCAGTTACTCAGTCTTCTCGTCGACAGCACTGCGATGTTAAACGGAGACAACCGATACCCAGTTATTTCGCGCACTTTGCGTTTTACCTTTGGTGTTCCTCGAGTCACAATTCCTTCGTCAACCGCACATCACGGAGAATGGAAAATTCATCCGCGAAACCAAAAGCCGCTCCCGAAAGAACAAACTCGATGCCGCTGTTTATCGCGTAGCGTGAAAGAAGGTTAAATCGCTTGCCACTAGATGGCAGGGTCAAGCAGAGTAATTGCAAGCAGCTAGGCTAGGTGGTAGTGATGCAAAACTATCGATAAATTGACTATCGATACTATCGATAGTGTCTCAGAACTATCGATAGTCGACTATCGATAGTACTATCGATAGTTTTTCGATAATCGACTATTGATAGTGCTATCGATAGTTTTTCGATAGTCGACTATCGATAGTCGACTACCGAGAGTTTTTTTTACTATACTGGTGACTAACGATACTATCGATAGTGCTATCGATAGTTTTGCAGCACTATAGTGCGTTACAACTCAAGAAGGTAGGGCGAGGGTAAGATGGGCCGGGGAGAGAGAAGCAGACGGAACGCTAAAGAGAGAAAGAGGTTTCCCCATCTCATCTCCAGCTTTCTGTCTGCTTCCACCTCCCGGCCCGTCTCACCCTCGCCCCACCGCTCGCCTCCCCTTCTCCTCTTTTCGCCCAAACTCGCATCTTCGTCATCAGTGAAAGCTGAACCAAAGTTGGGATGTTAAGTGCCTGGGCTAGTTGGTGTCCCATTTGAAAAAAAAAAAAAAAAAAAACATTGAGCAATAAGAAGAGAAGAGCGAGCGACGCAAACTACTAGTGTCGCAAAACTATCGATAGTAAACTGTCAACAGTACTATCGATAGGTTGACGATAGTCGACTATCGATAGTTTTCCGATAGTCGATTTACGACAGTTTTCCTATAGTCGACTATCGATAGTTTTTCGATAGTCGATTATCGATAGTACTATCGATAGTTCTTCGATCGTCGACAATATTAATTTTTAATACTGATAATCAGAACTATCGATAGTAAATCGTCGACAGTACCATCGGTAGCTTTACGATAGTCGACTATCGATAGTTTTTCGATAGTTGATTAACGATAGTTTACCGATACTCGACTATCGATAGTTTTTCGATAGTCAACTATCGATAGTACTATCGATAGTTTTGCACCACTACTAGGTGGCGCTAGGTACCGCCCAATTCATGTTCTACAAAAAATAATTTCAATTTCCTCAGGCCACTTGTGCGCTTGGGGATCCTCTACTAAACACACATTATGCACAGTACAACCATCAGGTGAACATACATTGAGCACATACACACACATGCCCCATACAAATCTCAATACAACGGCACACTAACCCGAACACTGTACCCGTGCTCTGCGTTTCCGTCTTTTATACTAGTCGTTTTGAACGTACGGAATTTCTCAGTGACTGAATAAGCAATAAAAATATTCCCAGCATGTTGATTTTTCCCCAGCAATGACATACCTCTGAGAGTATTTTGAATGGCTCAGGGGATGAATCTCTTATTAAAAAGCAAACGCTCAATCATGCCGTAATTATTTGAACGACAATAAATCAAGCCGCTCCAATGCGGTTCGAAGCCATGAGTTTGTTTCCCCGCACGGCACGTCCTAGCCTGTATTTCTATTGTAGTGTTTGTTTTTCTATTTGTGCTGTTCCCGCAAAGCTGGAATTGCCGTCTTGAATTAATCTCTGTAGAGCGGATAGTCACTCAGCTGGAAGTGATGCTTCAAGGGCTGAGAAATCGCTTTTCGTGCAACTTGAATGCAGTCAAAGCCGTGACTTGCAGCAGGTGTTAAGTGTATGGAGCTACGCCGTGGCGAGCTCGAAAACTTCTAGCGCTCATCCCAGCGCGCCACTTGGAGGGCAGTTTCTCCAATAACAGTAGTATATTTAAACAGCAAAATAAGAGGTAGCTTTTTTTTCAATTTTACTTACTATTGTTTTTTAATGCCAAAATTCCACACTGTAAATATACGCACTTTCGTCACGATTTCGTATTGTTGTCCTTGCCCCAGAGCGCAATCGCTCTCGGGGACGAGACAACCGACAGTTCCATTGGCCACATTACGATAGGAACTTACTGTTCAGACCAACGCTCCAACATGACTATCCGCACGTCGATCGATTGCACCTAATTCCTCAAGTGGTAATAAACTTTTTAATGTAAAGCAGAATGTCAACCTGCGACACCATGCCCCCTCCGATCACGGCCCGACCAGCGGCATTAAAGCCCGACAGTTTACGATCTCCTCTTGTTGAACCACGTTGAACGCCGGTTGCACTCGGCATCGGAAAACAGAACCGAACTCAGCACGGAAGACACCCAGGCAGCCGGTAGCAAAACCTGCCTGTCCTGGACGCAGTTCCTGCGATTTCCGTAACGTCGAAAACGTCGACACAGTTCCGCATGGTTTCGCTACTGTAGTGCTGTAGTCAAGGAGGTTAGAAGTACTAGGAGGGGGGCACGTTGTAATATTGGTGAAGCCTAGTCATAAAAAGTTTAAACAATGTTGTGGCCAACGTGACCGTAGATCTCTCTGGCGATGGGTGCGCGTGACATGTCACGTGTGAGATGGATGGTTGATTGTAGAAGGACTCCTTGCAGGCTTGCGCGCGCTCCGTCCGGTGGGTTTTATCAGATCAAACACTAGACTGTGGTGTATTCTAGTACCCCATAGCTAGACGAAGGTTAGCTACGGTCACGTGATATGGTCACGTTGGCCGGGCAAGTGAGGAGGAAAATGAGAAAGAGGCGAGGCGTCAAGGGAGCATGGCTTGTGGAGGCTACGCGGCTGGCGTCATGCCCTCTCCTACCCTTCTATCCTCCTTGGCTGTCATGGAGAATAGAAGGGTAGGAAAGGGCATGACGTCAGCCGTGTAGCCTCCACAAGCCATGCTCCCTTGACGCCTCGCCTCTTCCTCATTTTCCTCCTTACTCTCACCACATCACGTGACCATAGCTAGCCTTCGTCTAGCCTTCGATCTGATAAAACCTACCGGACGAAGCGCGCGCAAGCCTGCAAGAAATCCTCCTACAATCAACCATCCATCTCCCACGTGACATGTCACGCGCAGCAATCGCCATACCACAGTGTTCTAGAGGGGGTTGTAGTGGCAAGAGCGGCGGCCGCTTTGTGAAGATTTTGCGCGTAGACGACACCATGGCGCTGCTGTTCTGTGCCCTAGGAGCGCGTCCCCGTCAGCCCCATCATCAGCGCTGTTCGGCGCTTACTACTGTGGTTTGACTGGAGCTTTTCGCGGTGCGAAACAACTGCAAATGTTGTTCTGTATACTCTGTTTCACCCTATGATGTACCGCAGGAAAGGCTGCAAGCGCGAGCTCCTTGCTCTGGGGCACATCTCGGAGGCACAAGCTCTGGTGAATTAAACGCCATGAGCTCGCGCTTCTAGCCTTCGCTGCGGTACAACATAAGGTGAAACGAAGTATAGTAAATTGTAGTTCTGCCTTTGGACTAATGCCTCTAGAGTGTGTGCTATCCTCTACTTGAAATATTCCCGTGTTTTGAGGGAGATTATTTAATTAATATCGACTCCCCCCCAGTACTGACACATCGTTCAGCAACGCTATCACTTGGGCTGCAGGCTTAATAGCTGCGAAAGAAGTTCTACGGTGCTACATTTCGGAGAAGCGTACCGCGTCACCCTCGTCGTCTTCTTCGTTCATCGCACACGTGCCATTAATTTTCCTAGGGCACTAGGGTGCCTGCATGTCTGTCTGTCTCAGGGTGAAGACATCCATTGTTGCACTGAATGTGCCAGCGCGTGACGCTCTCGCGCACTCGGTGCATGACTTGGGCGGTAAAATGGCGTCTATGCATTAGCCAAAGCTACGCGCTCGAGCTGAGTGACAGCGGATTGCGCGCACTTCAAAAGGCATGAAAAACAATTGAGCGGAAAAATGGCTGAGATGTCACCACTCAAGCAAAAGCGCGTGTGTATGAAGGCACTCTATAGGGCACAGAACTCCAGCGCCACTCGCGGTATCTACATCGACCGTCTTCACGCGCTTCATTGTAAGCGGGCGCCGCTCTTGCCACTACACCCTCTAGAACACTGTACGCCAGACAGATCTGCGGTCACGCTGGGCACTAAATCGTTTAAACTTTTTGTGACTAGGCTTCACCAGTATTGCAACGTGCCCCCTCCTAGTACTTCTAACCTCCTTGTTGGCTGTAGTTCCGTGTCGCGTGAGTCCCGCAATCCGGAGACGGCCCTCTTACCCAGTGTACGTGGCACTGCTGGCACTGCTCCGGAACTTCGCGGTTTCTAGCGGCTTCGTTTACTCGTTTGATAAAATTAGTGATAAAAACGTCAATGCAACCGATATCTTCTGCACGTTTAGACTAGAAGACGGAATTAAAGGCGGCCTTTGCTGCCGCTGAAGCTCAATCAACTCAACAGCTATTTATTAAACAACGTGCGCGACTTGCTCGAAAAACAAAACCGAAAGAAGATGAGTCGAGAGGGCGAAAGCATTCTCCCGTCTGCCTGGAGAAGGAGAAAAACGTTTCGTTGCTCCCTGTTTCTCGTGTCCACTTGCGGGCGCGTCAGTAGAAGGGAGGAAGACGCGCCGTTGCTACTTTTTTCCTCCATTTTTTTTCTTAGAGTGTAGATCTGCGCCATTATTCCACAATTTTCAAAGTGTCGACCGCCGGCGTACGAAGACAGTTTCTTACCGGTAATTTATGTTTAAATATTTTTCTTTGGACAAATAACTACTTCTCACGGTTCGGCAGTGTATTATCTTCGGTCTCATTTTAGAGGGTGTACTCCTTCCTTTCAACTACGCTTTCATCACGCCATATATATTGACGGACTATATAGGTTTCCAGAACTAAATGTTGAACGAGAACATATGAGGCCTTCGCAGAGAGGGAATGGCCGTTCGCATTTGAGCAGCGACCTCTTCAGATTCTACCGGCTGATATATCTACACCATCCGTCGTCTGATTAAAGAAGAATATTGTCATTTAGTGAGGGAGGTTAAGTACACTGCCCAGCATTGATGCTTCCTTCAGTCCGATCAAGCGGTGAAAGGGGCTCCTTGAGACAGACGTTTCGCGCAATTTTTTTTTTTTCCTTGCCGCCCAAGCGCTAGACATATGATCTCAAAAGGTCGACAAAACCTTTCGTTCGTTTACGACAGTCGCAGTCCTCACAGTTAGTTCTGGATATATACGCCAGCGAAGAGCACGAGAGGATGCAGACGTCGTTCTTGTCGACGCCGTCTCCCAAACACCTCCATGAAGGACGTTTTCTGCGGATTGTACTTCCCTGCTCCACGAACGCGTTCACACTTGAGGTTGTACTCGATGGGGCCATCTTACCTGGCTGTATAATGTTAGGACGGGTGAAGCCATATTCCGTTCCAGATCAAGTCCGAGCGCACTCAACGCCACGATTTACGATCTAATATGAAGCCAATGAATCAAACAGCGCAAAAAAGAATCGTCGTGGCGCGATCGTCGTCGTTGTGCGTTTGCTATCACCGCAATTAAGCCAATCACGCGCACAGAAAAAAAAAAAGACAGGATCACGACGCATGTACTGTGCATGATTGGTTTAGCGTTGATAGCAAACGCACAAAAGAGCGTTTTAGGGAAACGTTTTTGCGCATCCGATACGGTACGATTGGTTCTTCGGTACGAAGTGCGCATGCGCGAGTCTTCTGCTGTAGCACATGCGCAGTTCGTACCCGAGGGCCCATCGTATACCGTATCGTATGTGCGGAAACGGTTCCCTACAATTCTCTAAAGGCGATGAGCTCCATGACGACGCAGTTTTGGCACTGCTTGATTGGTTCATTCGTGGCGTTGGAGCTGCGCTGGGGCCTAATGTGAATCGGAGTATAATGGCTGGCCATGCGTAGACTGCACGGCAGGTTTAGTGCTCGGTCGCCGTCATTATAATTGGAATAATGCAATGTAAATAAGGGCATCAATTGTAATAAGAACGACAATTTTGTTATTTTTTCACAATTCTATGCCTGCGCGTGCTTTGTTTTTGCTATTTTGGTTATGTTTCAACCGAATTCTTGGAACTGTATTTAGACTTCTCTTGTGTATAAAGGCTGAATCGCATGTAACCGATTTAGCGAGCGACGAGGCAAGGGACGAGGACAACGACGAGAGTCAGTGACGAGCGATGGAGATTTCTCACTCTTGTTCGTCGCGTCGCTCGGTTTTTAGATTCCTAACAAGCGTCGGTTCTCGCCTTGGTCGCTTGCTCCCGTCGCTTTCATGCGGCTTGCCTTGTCGCGCGACTGACCGAGCGACAGCGAAGCGCGTCGCCGTCGCTTGTCTCGTCGCTCACCAAATCGCATAAACGCTGTTTATACTTCATACTCGAAGACGGGTCCTCGAGGTATATACAAAGATAGAAATAAATATATGAATAAAAATAAACTTATCGAACACATTCCCCGACACCTTGCGTAAACGTTAACCGCTGCCTCGAAGAATCATAGAAAAATTCTTTACATTGGCTACGTTCGCCTATACCTTCTGAGATTGGAACCTATAGATGTTTCCTCGGCATTTATCACGCGTTATCTAATTATACAGACTTTAACAAAACAAAGCACTTACTTTTGCTGAATTGTTATTCGGTTTAGCCATATCAACAGGTCTGTCTTGCCTGGAAAGCAACGAATATGTTTGACTTATAGGTCCTGCTTCGACATGCGAACCGCAACAGGCTAGAGCAGTCGCAACCACACAAACCAACGCGATCATCTTTTCTGCGACGTGTAAGCTCGAACAATGTTGCAGCGAACGAACTGACCTATATCTCATTTCTAATGTAAAAGCTCAGATAATTCCTTAAAGGTGATACGTGCCATATAAGCTCTTACCTGTAACGACGAAAAAGAGGAACGCTGTCGTGGCTGTTGTGCGCGCGCTAAAGGAAGGTAAGAAACACTCCCTTCGGCGAAAAGGCCAACAGTCGTCAAGCGGACTTGTTGTTTCCTGCTCTCCAAAGAAATGCAGGTGGAAGTAAAAAATAATAATAAAGAGAAAACAATCAATCGTATCAGAAAGCTGACCTTTGTTCTTTATTTTCCGCAACAGCAATGTTTGTGAAATTTTAAAGCGCCTATAAGGTCATGATAAACTCTACGCTTAGAAATCTGAAGCGTCCACTTTTCCGCACAGTACTTGAGAGAACCTATCGCTACATTCTGCGGCATTATGCTTAATCTCACAGCATAAACTGCTTTTTTATTCTTTTTTTTTTTTATCTAGACAAGTTTTTAGCATCACCATTCGCCCAATAAACTGCAGCGAATGACTCCTCCAAGTAATTTTCAGAAAAGTAAACGCTCCCGATATCTTAAAGTAGAGCTCTTGACTTCTGTTGTTATTTGTGAGCGTTTGCAACGGTAGCGGATGTATATTTCATGGCAAAAGAGAGTCCCATAAACATGAAGTGCAGGCTACGTTTCGGTAAGAATTTTCCGGCGCAAAGATGCGTTCAAGCCTATCTGCACAAACACGAGTGCGTAGTCGTCGGGAATCACGTCTTTCAGCCGCTTTTAGCTTTTAGTACGCGTTTCATTATGGCGCCTGGCATGCGCCTCTGATTGGCGTATTTAAAGTAGCGATGCAGGCGAGTTGGTCCATGATACACAGCTGGAAACAGGCGCAAATAACATAGACGATGAAGGTATTGACCAAATAAACGCTAGACATCAACTGATTATTTAATAAGAGGAAAAAAACAATCAAACTAACTATCGCGTCGACAAGTTCTTCAAAAAGGCTACCTCATTCTCATACAAACCAACCGAAGTTGGACTATTGCATGTTGCGCCTTCCTTTTCCAGTCTCAAACGCTTCCAGCGGTCTGTCGCAATTTTATCAATCTTTTTTTTTTTTTTTTTTTCAGAATCATATTACAGTTAAAGTTTGGCTTACACATGTAAGTCACACAATATGAAAAAAGGCGCCCTCCCAGAGTAGATCTCAGCGACAAAGCGTGCTCGCGCGCTCGGTCGTTGACACAACGTCCCGGGCGTTTGTCCGATGTATGCTCGACATATGTGGGCAGTAATTAAATTACAGTAATTGAATTACTTTAATCGAATTACCTTTCTTGGTAATTTGTAATTTTAATTAATTACTTTCGGCCAAAGGAATTGTAATTGTAATTTAATTACTTTGTAGCGAAAGTAATAGGCCTTATGCGAAATTGCTTGGTGGTCTGGCAACACTGAGAGCGTCGCCATGTTCGTTGTGGCAAGTCGGCGGCAGCGAAGCGTGCGAAGCAATGAGCGAACGGTGGAGTTTTCCGTCTTTTGACCACGTAATGTGGCGTAATAACCTGGAAGACTTACCACGGGTATCTGAGGGCGCGTTAGAAGCCTTGTGCGCTTCGGAAACGCCATCGTCGCGGCAGCGGAGCAAGTCGTACGCCTTTGCCACCGAAGCGTACACCCTGCCTTCGTCAGTGATGACGAACGTCTGCGACTCGAGGTAAGTACGTGAATACCGTTCCGTAACTTGCGTTCCTTTGTAAACATTGTGAAAAAAAAAAAAAAAAAACTTTACTTGCTACGCTTGTTCACGTCGTCCCTTTGTTGTTCTAGTCGTAGCAACGCCGGAGTCGTATCTGCTACGCAACCGGGCAAAGCAGTTCTTACCAAAGCGGCGCTCTTGCGTTCGCGTTGAACTCTTGGGAATTCAACGATTTAATTAGTGCTTGGTGGTATGCTGAAACGTTGCTTAAATTAAACGAGGTGGTTTTGACGAGCCAGCCTAGCTTTTGTTACCGATCGGAGGCTTTACTTATAATAATAATAATAATAATAATAATAATAATAATAATAATAATAATAATAATAATGATAATAATAATAATAATATTTATTTTGGTTCAGGAGAACCGCGGTGCCGCAGAAAGGTGCCATCACGGAGCGAGCTTGTTGGGTTCGCGGCGGGATCCGACTACGCTGCGTCTGAAATGGGCCTTAGCTTTCGCCGCGTATTTACTTCACTGAATGAAAGGAGACGCATTTAATAATAACGAAGTGCGGGCGTAGCTTCCCGATGATATAGCCCGCAAGTGTGCAAATGTATAAACGGTCAACGTATTCCTTCTTATCTAGTTCGCAATGTCAACTTACCATGACGTAGCACGCATGCTACAACATAGCAACTGTAAAAACACCTACAGTGGAACTTTGGCAAGTGAGAATATACCAGGAGACTAGGGCACTATAACTTAGTTGAGTAGTTATTTTTGTTTTTTTTCTATATGAGCACTAGCCCAGAGAAGATTCCGCATGCATCTCCCACCTCACACTTTCTTATGAGCGACTTCTTTGGTCACTGGCTGTGCCTTTTTCTTTGCTGCCCTTAAGGTGCTTACCAGTGGAAAACAAAACAAAAAACAAACAAACAAGGCATTTAGCGAAGCTCACATATTCTTCCGTGTTACCCTAACAGGCTTGGTGTCGTCTATGCGAAAGCTACATGCTTCAGGAGCCAGAAGAAGACTGGAGTGCCATATAAAATTCGAGTCGCATTTAGGCTTGACACTGGTGCAGTGACGGGTGCAACTTGTGAGTGCCCTGCTGGAGCAAGCGGTGCGTGCAGCCACATTCTCGCCACTCTTCGGTTGATTATCTTGTTGAAGAAAAAAGTGGAAGCCGTTTACAAATCCCTGTAACGCCGAATTGGAGCGCAGCTCTTGAGGAGGAGGAGTGAAGGGTACTGAGGGGAGGGTAGACCCCTCCCCCTTCTCCTCCTCCTCCCTTCATTCTTTAATATGCTCCGGGGGGGTGTCACGTGACTTCGGGGAGGGGGTCACGTGACCTCGGGGAGGCGTGACCTGGGGTGACCTCAAGGTCACGTGACCTTGAGATGACCTTGGAAGGCGCACGTGACCTCGAGGGGTCACGTGACCTTCAGGGGGTCACGTGGGGTCACGTGACCTTGAGATGACCTTGGGAGGGGTCACGTGACCTTGGGGGGTCACGTGACCTTGGGATGACCTTGGTTACGCCGACGGCGACGGCGACGCCGACGGCGACGCCGACGCCGACGGCGACGCCGCTCAAGCCGGGAACGGGCCCCTAAGAGCTGCGCTCTAAAAAGGCTACAAGGAGACACCGCCAGAGTTGTCGTGCACTGAGCTCCCACAACAGTGGCGGCGCCCTCGACGACAAGGCATCAGGCCAATGAGTGTCCAAGACGTGGATTGGAGGAGTCCCCGTGAAGGCGGCATGCCCACACCAATGCCAGTGCGGCTGTTTGATGCCTGCGCCAAGAAGCAAGACGAGCAACGGCAGCTGGAGTTGCTGCATGAACTGGGCAGAACACTCCAGAGCCTTGGGAACCAGGACTTCGGCGCAGTACTACTGGCTGCCCGAGGGCCACTGACGGACACAAAACTGGGGCCTGCACCTGCTGGTTCACCGCTGTCTTATCAGCAGGCAATGCTACCCTCCGGCTACAAGACGTGGACCTCGGCAAACATTTCTGCAGGAATCGGCCTTGCAACTTCAGTACCGGAGCTCTCTCTCTTCGATGGGACTCGACAACATACATTCTCTGGCACGTTCAGTGCGGAGGAATGGCAAATATTGACGGTAAGTGCTGCTTACGGCAACCGTGGCAGACAGTACAATACATTGTTAGGCTGGTTGATATGACCGTAAGACATAACGCATAGCACAAACTAGGCCACCAAGCAAGGAAGTACAAAAGACAAGCGCCGACTCGTAACTGTTCATTGCACGCACCTTATAAAGGTAATACCTGCTGGGTATTGGTCAGAGTGCGCCACCATCGATTGATCGCCAGTGCGGCTCGCATTGGCGATGCTGCTGCCGCCTATGTTTATGCATGCGAGATGCCGCCTGTAAGCCCGTTTCACATGCTGCGATTCCTGTCTCTATTCAACTAAAATTGCAGTGGCACTGTCGCAGCGGCTCTTCGACAGAGTTCCACCCAGCTGGAATCCTGTAGCCGCGTCTGCTGTGTGCCACGTGACCAGGAGAGAGCGTTTCATGCACGTTGCAAGGCTAAGACTGAAATGCCTCGTCTTGTATTAGCAATGTAAAAATGTGAACTTCTCTGTTAGTTCATGTAAATGTGATATGTTCATGTATATGAAGGCGTATACATTGTATTGTAAGCAAAAACAAACATGTGGTGCTGTGACAGACGTTGTGACGATTGCCAGAACATGTGAATTCAACCGTTGCGATGACTCTCAGTGTGCCTGCTGTTGCACCAGTTTTACTCTTACAGTCGCAGTATGTGAAACAAGCATTCCACGTCTTGCGGAAATTGTCAATCCCTGACGGTGTTGTTCCTCCCACAGCCTCGATGGTAATCTGGCTCCTTTCCTGCTAAACCTTCACGCCTTCGAATAGCTGCCCATAAGTGAAGTCATCTGGAATTGCACGAGACAATCGATAGCATTGCGACTGCTGTAACTTACGCAAACAAAGACTGCTTAAGTCAGCACCGACGAAGTGGAAGGAGAGACTCCACAGTACTGCACACTAACAACAACAAACATGGCGAAAGGGCTACCTCGACGTTACAGATATTTTGGGGTTAGGTTGTGCTTTGTGTCAGGCAAAACTTGACTGCCCTGCAGGTTTATGCATTAAGCATAACATCCTGCATTATCATTTCCAGTCAAGCAGAAAAGAAAAACTGTTTGCACAATCACTTTTTAGCAAGGCAGGCGGACCAGGAGAAATGCGGTAATCTAGAGCTGTCACAGATGTGCTGTGTTCATATGCTATAACGACTTTTATTGTTTGTCGCAGGGGATCGAAGTGTCGCCGGAAAGTGCCAGGGAGCTCGAACTGAACTCCAGACAGCAAGGACGGAGTGCACACTGGCGAGACGCGCGGCGCCAACGATTAACCGCTTCAAGTTTTGGTCGTGGATCCAAGCGAGAACAGTGGACAGAAACGGGCTTGCGGAACCTCATCGAGCCAAAAGACATCTCGCATGTTCGCGCAGTTCAGTACGGGCTAAGAAATGAAAGTTTGGCTGCGGACCGCTATACAGCTGTTATGACTAACTTCAAGCACAATGTGTCGCTCCAGCACTGCGGCTTAGTAGTAAACCCTGGATTCCCGTGGCTTGGTGCCACACCTGACAGGCTGGTATATGATCCAGAGCAGCTCTCGTATGGAGTCCTTGAAATCAAATGTCCGTATTCACTCAAGGACACTGAACCAGATTATGCCAGGATGCAGAACTTCTACATAACATTCAATGAAAACGATGAGCCACATCTTGACCGGGACCATGACCACTATGCCCAGGTGCTTGGCCAAATGGCTCTGACCGGATGTCGCTGGGGAGACTTCGTTGTCTGCTCAGAGAAGTGGATAGTCGTTGAGCGCATTCGCTTTAATTTTCAGGACTGGGTGGAAATGCGGCAAAAGCTTGACGATTTTTACTTTCGGCACATGTTGCCCTATGTTGCCCGCAAGTAAACCAGCTCAAACCGAGTAGTTAGGGCTAAATAAAGATGTCTCTGGCTGGGTGAACTGTTGTGTTTCAATCAAGTTTGTCACCCCTCCCCTTGGCAGAGTAGCACTTACGGTTCATCACGCCGGCAGACATCTCTGCCGTTTCAACAGAATGCTCCCTCTCATGAGCGAGTACGAAACAAAAAGAGACCACACAAGCAGTACACTCATGACAGGTTTCTTTCGTGAAGGTCAGCACACATACAAGACTCTCAACGCTCGGACACAAAACGCAAAGTAAAATTAACATATCGGGAAACTACAGAGCATGTGCCTATGTTGCAAACAGGCACCCACCCTCTATTTAAAGGCACACACATTAAGCAAGGTCCCTTGCAAGTCTGTCCTGCTTTTTCGTTCCCAAACCTAGAAAGTAACCGTCCCCCTTTCTCATGACTGTGTCTGTACTTCGAGTGGGCACTCAATCAATATTTTATGGGAAAGGCAAAGTTTACATGTACTTGTCATAAATATGCACGTTAGGTTTCAGCCTGCCATCATATCTGCGCTTCCTGTGCGATTTATGAGACGGGACTGAAAATTTGTGAGTATAGCTGCCACTGTCCAAATCTGATTAGCTACAGGGGCAAGGGTCAGTGGTATCGGCCGATCGAATATATGATATGCCTTAATTCTTTGTATTCTACGTTCCACATGAATTCTTAGAGATGCGATTTCTTTGGTTTCTTGCACTTGTCCATCTGTGAATGTGCGGCCTCTCAAGAAAGGGGGCAGATTCAGCTTTACGCCTTTTCTCTCAAGCAAATCCTCAATGAGGAAACCCTTATCTGCCATCACAGAATCGTTCTCTTCAAATGTCAACTCTAAAAAGCCGCTCCTTATGACAGTTTCTCTGTCTGATGTCGATCCTGTGTAAAGCTCGGACACGAAGGCCAGAAGCCCATTAGGCAGTACACCGACAAGCCCTTTAAAGGTGTTTGCTGATTTGTACATTGAGTATGTGCTTGACTGAAGCGACGGAGAGGTCGGCACCTCGCACTGTACCTCCGTTGCATCCAGAATTACCCTCGTTGATGCATATGTCTTAACAAAATCACCTGGCATCATTGGATCTGTTGTTTCCCTTGGTGCCCACAGGGGAAATGTGCTCAACTTTGCATACAGGAAATTCAACCAGGACATGCAAATCCTTGACACTGTGGACTGCGCAATGGAAAACCGGTGTGCCAAGTCTGCTTCGAAGAGACCAAGACGTAGTCTCACAAGAACTAAAAAGAGTTCATTCTCTGTGGTTAGTTTTCGCTTACGGCCCCTCAAAGAATTCTCCCCACTGCTACTTTCTGTCCGCAAGACATTGCAGCCATCTTTCCCAGTGTCCAGAAAACGCAGCAATGCTGTGAAGTGATGATATCCCGGAAGACCAGTGTAAAACATGAAGTCTTCATCGCAGTCTTTGAAGCGCTCGATGCAAAAAAAAGCTGATTTTCTCTGCTCTTGCGAAACCTGGCACCATACCTCGGCATTCTCACTCATGAGTGCGATCACTCACGATCACTCACGCTCATCATCAGATTTGAGGTGATCGTGAGTGAGGCCGCGAGTCTCTAAAAATTGTGAGTGTGAGTGTGAGTGTGATCGTGAGTTACGTGAACTTATGAGTGTGAGTGTGAGTGTGAGTCCTGAGAACTGATGAGCGTGAGTCTGATCGCGAGTGTGATCGCGAGTTCTGAGAACTAATGAGTGTGAGTGCGAGTGTGAGCCCTGCGAACTCAGGAGCGTGAGTTTGATCGTGAGTGTAATTCTGAGTTCTTAAAACTCTTTTGAGTGTGAGTGCGAGTGTGAGCCCTACGAACTCATGAACGTGAGTTTGACCGTGAGTGTGATTGTTAGTTCTTAAAACTCTTGAGTGTGAGTGTGAGCTTGAGCGCTAAGTGAAGTACTCATGAGTGTGATTGTGAGTTTCGAGGCTCATGAGCATGAGCCTGAATCAAGACGTGAGTCTTTGGGTGGATATGAGTCCGGTGATCGCATTAGTCTGCGTGATGGCGTGAGCCTGAGGACCATGGCCATGATGAGTCGCGGTGAGCGCTGGTATATTCATAGCTGGGTTGGTCACGTGAGCTCCCGGGCCGTCTTAGTGGGCGAGGAGACTCTCGCTTCGCAACTACTGCGTGGGGTTCGGGCCTTCAGGGTTGGTTTGGGTGTCGCTCGCCTGCTCCTTCGCCATGTGAACGCGCCGGTTCCTGTGGAGGGCGGAGGAGGAGGGGGGGGGGGGGGGTGCTTGTTCTTGGAGGCTCCTCCTTGCCAGCGCCCTCCGCAATGTCTCAACCAGCTGTAGAGGGCAGAGGGGGTATGAGGAAAGGGGGGGGGGGGGGGAGGGGTCGCTTTCGTTTCTCCTCGGCGTTCGCTCTTCGCTTCACGGTAGACTGCGAGACGCCAACGGACTGACGGCGCCTCGAGGTGGCGCGGTAACGTCGGAGTTGGGGAAGCGCTCCAAACGGCTAGCGCTCCTTTCTCTGTGGCATAGAAAGGTTCGTGTGTATTTCGGTTCCCGTTGTCAAGTTGGTGTCAGTGGGCACAGAATTTTATGATTGCGTCAACTATAACGTTCGCACAGCTGCAATAAAATTAAATGACTCGCATGATCCTCATCAGCACCCGGAATTTTATTTCTCCGCGCACCTCAACGTACCTTTCGCAATGAGTCACCACTCAGGAAGTTCGACAAAGGCGGTGTCATGATCGATCGAAGCTTCGAGTGAGGTCTTTCACATTGTGCGATATCATGCTTTTAAGTGTTGTTTGGGGCAAGATGGCGCAAGTGCAGGACAGCCAGCCGGCAATGGCCAGGCGGCGCCACGAGAGTGCTGCATTCGGCGCCACAAGCGGAGGGGTCTCTCTTAATGGGTCGGCCAGTGGCTAGTCTGCCCGTCGGGCCGTGGCGAGCGGCGACGAACTCGATTTCAGCAGTCCCCGTGTGCACGTGCGCGCCATGTTCCTTTTTATTTTATGCGGTTTTTTAAGACCATCGGGAGCCTTGATAGGTCCAAGTGTTGAGAGCATAATCTGGAGCTGTCATTTAGAGACCTGTTTGAACTGTCTTCGTGCGCTGCGGCGTCGCTCTATAATAATCGCCGCCCGATCGGTCTGTGCTTCGCTCGTCTCCCAGGAAGTGACACAACGCAACGGGAAGGCAGCGAATGGGTTTACTGTACTTCCCGGTTGCCCGTCTTCGAGAGCCGGCAGTCCGGACCCGCCGACCCTAGTTGTCGCCACGACCATTCGCTCAAATGTCGCCGTTCGCTAAAATGTCATTCGCTCTTGTGATATGGACCCCTTCCAACGATAAGAAGTGTTTAAGAATTGAATTGTAAAAAGTTGGTTATCAGATATATTATTTTTGTTTTACAAGAAATTCTTGCCTCACCCTGAGCACCTATGCATTCAACCATAACAACGTAAAAAAAAACAAAAAAAAACATGAATAAACAACGGCCAAGGGGAGCACAGCTTCACGCACGAAGCCCGAGAAGCCCGGGCAATTGGCGCCTCGGAGTCGCGTCCAGCCGGCGCGCCGGCAACCCGGCCGTGGCCGTGGGGCAGGCGCCGCGACGTTGCGGCCACTGCGCGCCTCCGTCACCGAAGGCACACGGCACACGGCGAATTTTGCGAATCCCGATGAGCCAGTAGATTTATTGGAGTAAGACACATGGCAGCGTGGCAGCGTCTCACAGGCGTCCATTCTAGATGCCACTTGTCTCTATGCGACGCTCTAATTGGCCCACTGAGTCCTAGCTTCAACAGTTTGCTAAGTGTGCCCTTAGGCAACCAGCCCAACTTGGGAGTTGGCACGACACGTTGCGCCATCTAGCGACTGAAAAATAAAACAAATTGGATAGTCCAGGACGGCCTGGGTCGCGAGGACTGTGGGCGGGCGCATTTAGAAACCACGTGTGAACGTGGCACTTTGGACCGGCGTGAGCCTTTTTAGAACTGTTTTTTCATAAAATTAAGTCTCAACTTCACGTCTCTATGACCTTTCCGGGTTCCTGTGACGTCTCTCCTAAGCCTTGAGTTTCCCCAAAAATAAACGCCGCTATTGCTGCGTGAAAGACTGCCACGGTCGTGCAGGTGACCCAAGCGTCAGACTTTACCGCTTCCTTTTAAGACCTTGGGAAGCGACACGGCGACAGAGTGGATTACTGGAGTGCGATGCATCAAGTGAACTTTACATTAATTGTTGAAGTGAACGAAAATAGATGTGCAGGCTTGAAAAGTGGTCTGACAGACTCCTTTTGCAAAATAACGTATTTATACTAGTTTTTTACGAGTCTCCGAGACAAACCATTTAGAGAAATACAGTAGGAAAAATTGGGCCGATTGTTGCTTCGCTTTGACGTCGAGAATCAGGCGATCAGGTCTTCAAACGAGATGCCCGTCGACCTGTTCCGGCACTCGTAGTTGTAGGCGTGCAAACCTTCTAAGCATGCAAGTTTTTAAATAGTGGATTTTCGTAGAACAAATTTTTGTTTGTTTCGGCTACCAAATTTAATGCTGAGTCTGGTAACAAATGTGACGGCGTGCAGAAAACAGTATGCAATTTTTTTTTCTAGAAAAAGCTCATGCGAAGGCGAAGCGTAAATATCCTTCTCACACGCACACTTTTTTGCCTGTCGCCAGACTTGTGCACTGTTCTCTAGCACGGAGAGTTCGGTTCTAATTACCCACATTTTATTCTAGTGTCGTGGGGGCGCCGGGAGAAGAAGAGGACGGCCGAGCGAGGCGCGAGCGGGGGCCAGCCGGCGAGGAAAGAGGAAGAGCGTGCTGCACGAAGCTGGGGCCGGGCAGGAACGATAGAGCCGTTCTGGCTGGTCCGGCCCATGTCGGTCCCCGGAACGTTCCACCAGCGAGCTTCGGATCAGGACCGGCGGAAACGGCGAGCCTGGCCTTGGGTCCATATCACAAGAGCGAATGACATTTTAGCGAACGGCGAAATTTGAGCGAATGGTCG